AGCACATAACAAAAACCCATTCTTGTAGAACATCAAGAACGAGATTGGTACTGATAAGAGAAAGGATTTTAAAATAGCTTCGGATCAGGTACTAATGTTTAAAGGAAAATTTTGTGTACCTAAGGATGAAGTTTTGAGGAAAGAGATATTGGAGGAGACTCATTCCACCCCATACACCGCACATCCCTGTGGTACAAAAATGTATCAAGATCTTCGAGATACATTTTGGTGGAGGAATATGAAAAGAACTATAGACTTATTTATGGCAAAATGCATAGTATGTCAACAAGTTAAAGCAGAACACCAAAAATCGATAGGGTTGTTAAATTTGTTGGACATACCTGAATGGAAGTGGGGAATATCACAATCGACTTTGCGGTTGAATTTTCGAAGTCAACAAGAGGATACAATGCTATATGGATAATAGTGGATCGTCTAACAAAGTTCACTCATTTTATTCCTGTAAAAATGACATTCAGTCTAGATCAGTTATCGCAGTTGTACATTAGAGAAGATTGTAAGATTACATGGTGTCTCTATATCTATTATGTCGGATAAAGATCCGAGATTTACATCAAAGTTTTGGAAGAGTAAGGAGCTATGGAAATGAAATTGCATTTCAATACGGCGTATTACCCTCAATCCAATGGTCAATCTGAAAGGACCATTCAAACTTTAGAAGATATACTAAGAGCCTGTGTTCTAGATCTAGGCGGTAGCTGGGAAACGTATCTACCTTTGGTGGAATTTGCATATAATAATAGTTTTCAGACAACTATTGGAATGACACCGTATGAAGCTCTATATGGTAGAAGATGCAGATCACCTATTCATTGGGATGAAATCGGAGAAAATAGAATTTTGGGACCAGAGATCATTGAAAGAATATTGGAAGCCATTGATAAGATCCGTACCAGGATAAAGGCCGCACAAGATAAACAAAAGAGCTATGAAAATACCAGAAGAAAAGACTTAGAATTCGAAATTGGAAAGAAGGTTTTTCTGAAAATGGCACTAGTGAAGGGTGTACTTAGGTTCTGCAAGAAAAGCAAACTACAACCTTGTTATATCGGACCTTTTGAAATACTTGACAAGGTTGAAAATGTGGCTTATCGATTAGCTTTGCCGCCTGAACTATCAGCAGTTCACAATGTGTTTCATAGATCGATGATCAGAAAGTATATGCATGATCCTGATCACGTGGTCAATTATCAATCTCTAGAAGTACAGAAATATTTATCTTATGAGGAATTACCGATTAAAATACTGGATCAAAAGGTACATAAATTATGAAACTAGGAAATTCGACTGGTCAAAGTGTAATGGAATAATCATGGAGTAGAAGAAGTTACTTGGAAAAAAGAAGAAGTCAAAGACAAATATCCGACACTCTTTGCCAATCCATAATGTAAATTTCGAGGATGAAATTTTATTTAAGTTGTAAGGGATGTAGAAGCTCAAGAAATAAAATAAAATTAGGCTATTATTTTATGATGATCTAGCACCGCGAGCTTAGTTCATTTGAAAAACGAGCTATGGAAACTCAACCCATTTAATATTTTGAAAGCCTAAGCCATAAACTAATTAAAAGCCTAACAATTTAAGAGATTATATTTAAGTAAATTTGATTATAAATATTTAATGAATAAATTTGATTATAAATATTTAATGAATAACTGGATTGCCTCAATGGTCATCTACATGGTATTTCATATAAGCAACCTAGCTTCGAATCGCCATGTAAATGTTTTTATAAAACTTTTTATATGAATTATTTTTTATGGCTTAGAAACTCTTCAAAATCTTAGTTAAAAACCAAATTTAACAAATTTAATGATAATACAACTCCGCCATTTAGTTTTTCATTAAAAATGAAGGTGACAAGAAGCGGAAGGTCTCTTTTTCACTACACTCCTCAAATCCGAATTTACTCTTACTTTCTCTCAAAAAATATATTTCATGTCAAGTTAAGCTTAAGGGAATATCAAAGGTGAGAAGAAGAAATGCTTTCTACACATTTTGTTCTTTTATATCCAAGAAAATTTAAGGTAGGTTGAGGTGCAAATGTTAATTTTGTTTTCAAATTTGATTTTTTGATAAATGTTTGAATGAAATGATACCTCTAGGTACGGTGCTTCAGGATTACAACAGTTTGAATGATCATTCTCCAGCTCTATGTGTTATGATAATGCTCTAGTAATTTGGATTTTAGTGGAAATTCATCTACGTGCGACGATATGAATCTATAGTTCAAAATTCCAAATTTGATGACGAAATGCGCCGATGACATCTATTGAGTTTCAAACTCATGTGTTAAATTCCCTTTCTACAAATTTACTTGTCTTGCTCGAGGGCGTGGATGATGGTAGATGGAGATACGACATACCATGGAAAAAGTCAGTGACTTGAAAATTTTAATTATATCATGAAATGTTTATGTTTATTTATTTTTATTTTTTTTTTGAATTTCTATGGACATCATATGTGGAACTCTTCTAAAAAAATTTCTTTATGAATAAATTATGTTTGAAAGTAGTTATGTGTCATAGAAATAAATTTACCAAAAAAAAAAAAAAAAAGCGATTTAAAGTTTTGCCGTCTTTCAAAAATTTCAATTTTTACCTCGTCTTTAAAAAATCATAACTCTTTCGTTACTTGGAATTTTTATACAAAGCCAATGGCATTTGATAGTCCCATAAGTTAGCTACTGAATGAATTTAGAATCATGTCAATCCGATATCAGTAGAATTTTATATGTCACATAAAGTAAACTGCACTAGGTAGTGTCGCTGTTTTTCAGCTTCTGCCCTTGGTTTCAAAAATTCATGACTCACTCATTACTTGAGATTTTTGGACGAAACCAATTGGGTTTGATAGTCTCAAGGGTTACTACTGAATATCATTGAAATCATGTTGATTCGATGTGTGTAGAATTTTATATGACACTTAAAGTACGCTGCGCTGGGTTACTTTCCAATCCTAGTCGCTGTGGGGATTTGAAAAATATTTTAATATCCTATATGCTGCCAACGGAAGCCAATTTTTGGATATGTCATATTATAAGGAGTATTTTACTTTACATTAAAATTTCACGAAGTTTCAAGGTCGATAGCTTTGCAAACGAATTTATTTTGTCAATTTTCATTTGAGATAAAAACTAAATCAACAACATTATTCTTAAAGTTTTGCCAAAAAAATTCACGTCAATAGAAGTTATCTTTTAGTATTGAATTATTTTGTTGTTTTAAAAAAAGGTATATATATATAAAATTGAATTAAATTCTTAAATTAAATCTTTATACTTTCCACTAAAAATATAGTAAATTATTAAGTTTATGGCTAAAGTACAATTAATCTTGTGGACGTTTCAATCCATGCTAGTCGGGGCGTTACAAGAAGGGTCAGAATTAAGATGTTTGAAGGGACGATCAAGACATTTGGAAATGTGAAACAAGTTCTAGATTTGAAGAGAAATCTTATCTCCTTAACTATTCTTGATTTAAAAGGATACAAGTGAAGGTGAAGTCCTAAACGTTAGTAAATGTGCACATGTTGTGATGAAGGGATAGAAACGGTCCCAATTATATGAAAGGTTCTACAGAATCTTTGAATATCAATCAGCGGAAGTTAGGCACTTAAGTGAAGTTTAAGTCTGGTACAATACCCTTGGAGTTTGGTTTAGGATCCCCATTAAAGAATACATTTCAATCAAGTTTAGAAATCATGAGTAATGCCGATATGCCATCGCCATTCTATCACCAGGGGTGCCACGCTATTCAATTGCCATAGACAAACCCAAAAGATATTAGGCCTCTAGAAAGTTGATTTAATTGCTTATATTTTAAATGTGGTTGAAGGTATTGACCAACGAAGAACCTTCTATAGAAGCAATTAGTTGTGTTGATTATGTTAAAAAGGTATGTTCCTACCTTGTTTGGTAATTATTGTTGAGTTATTTGTAATTTTGTTAATCGTGATAATAATTCGAGCAACTTTGGCACTCAAAGTAATCATGTTATGCAGAGCTTGGAATCAATTGATTATTCAATTATTAAGTTTGTTCTAGTTGGGCTTTTGTGGAAGAGGAGGAAAAGTTTGGAGAATATTGTTGAAAAGTTCTAATCCTTGTAGTGGAATTCATATCCAGGTAGAAAAATTTTTAAAGCTTCGTCCATTGTAGTGAAATTTGTATTAAGGTGGAGATTTATTGATTTACGATCCAAATTCCTTTGGGTATTTATATTTTGTTAAAGAGATCTTGAAGGAATTCAAATATGGACAAAGGAGAAAAGGTTGGCATATTTACCCTCGTTCAATGCCCAACTTTCGCTCGAGCTCAAAACAGGGAGCTCGTCACTTGCCTATTGCGACCTTGGGCGTTCAAGCACTGCCGCCACTTGCTACATGTGGGCTTTATAGCTCGAGCACCGATATCATCCAGCCCCCTGCTTGCTTTGAATTATCCTCTTCTGCCCGTAGTGTTTTTCTGCATAAATATTGGTATTCTTGATTGTTATTTTTATCTTGCCATATTACTCTTGTTTATTAAATCTGGCACGTGGTATCAAAGCAAATTAGTATCACCTTGTTTTCTAGAAGATCCATGTGCACCTTTTGTAAAGTTTAGAGACCCAATGGCAATTTTTCCTAGTTAGAATTAAGGGGCTATTAAGCGCTTTCATAAAAAAGAGTCCCAGAAAACACACATTTTAGGGACGTCCACATTAAGGAAAAAATGGTCAGGGCCCTTTTCTGCACTTCAGGCAAAGGTTTGAGGCCATTCACATCAAACTCTCCGATACGTAATCTACTTTAGACTTAGGTTAATATAAAGTTACTTATGTTTAAAGTTACATTTTTCACTGCCAGTATAATCGGATAAATAATTTTTTTATTTGTTACGTTAATAAGAAAATATGTAAATTCCTAAAATTATTCCGATATACTCTTATACTTTGACCAATCAAAATCTAGTAGTATATAGTAAATAGTCCATAATATGTTTTTCAAGCACTCCATTTGAACATAAATTAATATTCCAGGCAAACCAGCAAAAAATAAAAAATAAATGGAAGTTAACGGTCCCATATAGGTGAGACCAATTTGTTGCATACTGTGCTTCAGATACGAGAAAACTGTAAAGTGTAGTAGCTATACAAAATCAATCATCCTTTGCAAGAGCAACATAGTTTATTGGGATTGCCTTACTACTTTCTCTTCTTTCCCTTCCACCTGATATTCCATGACGTCGACTATTTGGTGTGGTGTTACTCACGCCCAGAGGTTTTCTGATACTTGGCTTCGAACCAAACAGAGCTTCTTGTTCTGCAGCTAACTGATCCTGTAGCTTCTTCTGTTCCTATATTATGCATGTAACACAGTTAATTAGTTAATCATAGCATTATGCAAGCAAGTTCATCATTAATGTTTTTCTAAATGTAAAAAGCATACTCGATATCTGCGCTTCTCCTCTTCTTTTTCTTGTTGTAAAATATTGAATTCTTCCAATGTCCGTAATAAAGGAGCCTGGAGTTTTAGAATAACTAAGATATTAGAATTGAAGAAGCAATATATGTGGTTATTATTATTGCATACAAGTCGGGTTTACCCTGTCGTATAAAAATGGCATTCCTTTCTCCACCTCCCATGCTTTAACTTTTGCAGTTAAATTTTCAACAAGAGCTGCAGGTGTAATTTTGAAATCATTCAACTTTAGCTTCAAATGCTTTCTATTAATAAGAATATAAAGAGAGAATGATAACCTAGAAAAGATTGATATCAAGCACGCATGTTTGATAAATTACAAGTAAATCACAATGCTGATAAAATAAATAATTGAGACAACAGTTAAGAAATTTAGTTATGGCTCTATATTAGTAAAGTAATTTCATTAAAAAATAAAATTAAAGATAATTCAGCATCTATGTTTTTTTCATGTATCGCTCAGATAACATGCATTAAGCAAGGCTAAGATTATCAAGCTGTATAGTTGGTGCTACAAAAGCTTTAAAGTTTTCTTAGTTCATCTAATGTTATGGGAGTAAAATCACCAGCTTTAGAATTATATATTACTATATCCATTAGATCAGGAATGGTTGGTCCCCTAGCTCACTAGTGAGTACCCCATCTCTTTTAACTAAAAATAAACAAAGGGAGCTCTGCATAGAATCCGCATACTCAGAGAAGATGCAGATTCTCAGGCTAGACAGTTAACAGCTTGAACAACTACGTGTAACAGACAGAAATGATGATTTAGGTAACATAGTAAAATTTTATATGGCAAGGAAACACACCAAAATCTGTCACTCCTAGACTTAGCAGTTCTCTAAAGAGATATCCCCTGTTGGAACTTGACTATATCATGCATAAACTATAGAAACATAAATTGACATGCTTAGCAATGCAGTAATCTTTTCTGTTTGTATTACTGTAGTGCTGAAGATGTATAGAAGGACGAGTTACGAAGCTCACATGGTATTTTGCTGACCAAAGTCCTTGCTTTCTCTGCACGTTTCAGATTTTTGTGAGCTCCTCTTCCAGCATTATAACGATTATCATCCTTACAGAAAGAGAAGAAAATAAATATATGCGTAACCCAAATAACAATGTCTCTAAAATTAAATTTAAAACTACCAAATTTGTTAAAGGGTCTACATCTATTAAATAACTATTTCATCTTAACATAAAGTTTTAGGGAGGAGAGATATCTATGTACTTCGAAACAGCCACCTCACATGCTAAGGAATTCAGTTTCGAGGACAAGCAGGTTGGACTCCTAGAATTGGGGGATCACCAGACAGTTGGCAGATCTTTTTAATTAAATACCCGTTCTTAGGTGGGTGGTTTGGCAAACGCCTGCCTGCTTTTAAATTTATGAACAGCCCTCTCACATCTCTCATTATTCATTAATGTTTGGGTATACCGTCTTAGTATTCACAAGTAAACTCTTTGAATTTTTACCCTATACTTTTAAATTACAAAGGTAAGTGCAAGCATAAGAAAGACACTTTTGTAGATGATCCACGCCCAATTGCAAATAATTGAGCTTGTCTTTGTTTCTACCTTATTTATTTATTTTTTTTTTTCATTTTGGGAGAATGAGAGTTAAAATGAAGATTTTGAAAATATTTTTCAAATTGAGCACACTACATTAGATTCCATTTCTACTTTAGGAAGCATTAGCATCCGCCCAACTAGTATAGAAACAGTACCTGCACCAGTTCAAACAAGTGCATAAACCGAGTCCGCACTAGGTTGAGCTGCTGATTCTAGTGATTTAGATAACAAAAACAGTAAAAATTCATCTTCTATGCCATTACAGGATCATTTAGGAACAGGAACGTGTGCGAAACCAATTGAGAACGAAATTGGTTGCGGACAATTGTGTTTTACTCACGAGTTTTATACCATTTTAACTTGATTATGGGCTAGAACTTATGACTATTGAACTTTTTAATGTGTTTATTAGTGTTGTTTTATAGGTTTGGTGAGGTGGTGAAAATCATGGCAAAAGTGGAGAAAACAAGGTTATTGACATAAACCTAGGAGAAAAGAACAACAAAAGGCCAAAAGAGTCAATTTTTTACATAAAAAGAGAATAAAGAGAGGCAAATGACCGAGAAGTGTCGCCCCGGCGCCACAAGAAACTAGGGAGAAGTAGAGGTGTGGCACCTTGGCTCCACTTTGCCAAAAGAAGACAAGACGACGACATACTCGCCACTCTAATTTTGATGAGATGCCACCTGAAGCGTCTAGGGTGCAATTTTTGGCTAGTTTTGAAGCCCGTAAAAACTTTACATCCGGCACAAATATGGAAAAAAGTATAAATACAAGAACGGATTCACTTTTGAGGAGTTCTACACATTGAGAGACATAAATACAACTTGGAGAATTAGAGAGCAAAATTGAAGGAGAAAAACAAGAAAACAAGGTTCTAGAATCAAGATTTAGAACAAGAACTTGGTACGAGATTCATCCACTCATTTACATCGCAATTCAAAACCCGGTGATGTACTCAATGCAAATCTTTCGTTTTTTCTATTATTATGAGTATTATTTCATTAGGGCAAACAATATAATATATTGAGACCATTTATTCCTTTTATTCAAGATTCAAGTTCTTTCACTATACATGTGTTGATTTTAATTATTTATTTAATACTTTGAATTACTTGATTAATAATTCAATGATTCTGAGAATCTGTTACGAATCGAGAGATGAGTTTTAGATTTAAACCACATATTAAAATCTGATAATTTACTTTAAGTTGTAGAGATACCAATGGTAATTGTTGCGGTCTTATATGAATTCTTAGAACTAATATTTTATTTAATTAAGAGTGATTCGTATAGAGGTATGAGATTGAATTAATTAAATAAGCTCAATAAGAAGTCGATAGGGATAAATTGAATACAATAGAAGAATTCGATCGAACACTGCATTAGATATATGAATCTTGAATTAAGACTTAAAGGTGATTAATAAATGAAATTGTTATGCCCTAATATGTCTTCCATAATTGAAACATTAATTCAATCTTTATGTGCAATTTTGATACTTTCAATTAGTAGATATAGTTAGAAAAACAATTAAAATAATCACAATTATTTGTTTTCATCAAATAGGAGTTAAAAATAGTAAATTAAGTATTAAAGTATAGTCTTCTTGAGAACGATAATCCGAACTCAAAGATCCACTATATTACTTGTTTCGATACCGTACTCTTGCGATATAAAAAGGCAACAATCTCCGGCCAATGCAATCGACTCCTGAAGTGTTCTATGAGGCTTGAAAAGAAGAAACCAGGTGACAGATCATATTACCTAAAAGCTCTAATGAGTCATCTGAAATGTTAGCCCTTCTATCATTCAAAAGAAATAGGCCGACAACGAAAGTAAAGTTTAGGCCAGTACCTGGTGGGCCAGTAAGTGGAAATGATATGTTTTCTAGGCAAGCATGTGGAACAGGTCTTAAGTAAAAAATAAATCATCGGCCTGAAGCTTTGAGGATGTCATCAAAGGGAACTATAAATGGGTTAGGCCAAAAACAACTACGTAGACGGCCCTAGTATGAACATTGTCATGAGCCGCGGCACAAAGAAGATAAAATGTTAGGATTCAAATGGGAAACCTGCTGATTAGAAGCTAAGACGGAACGCTAGGAGTCAAAGATACCAAGTTGATACAAAAATTTATTCTACTCAGCATTCAACCCCAAACAATTGGAGCAACTTTACTAAATTTTTTCTAGTCTCCAAACATTTGGCCAGCCTTCTCTCCTTCAAGATCTCTAGCCAATAAAAGTAATTTCTTGAAATTGTTAAGGATCACCTCAAAAATGTAAAACTTCCTAGATTATTGATACAAGTGCATCCGATCACACGACTAACTCATATCATCTTTTTTTCTACCCTAAACCTGTGCTAGCAATATTAAGGTCAAAATTGTAGATGGCTCACACTCATCTATTGCAGAAGAGTGGAGAATCCAAATCTCTAACTTCGTAACACTAGAATCTTAACTACACTTTCTAAATTTGTCTTATAATCCGTTGTATGTTAGCAAGCTAACTAAAAACTCCAATTGCTCTACTAAGTTTCTTATATTTTTCGGGAACGCACATCAAAGAAGACGATTGGCAATGCTAAAAAGTGTTAGGAATGTACTACTTTGAGGAGTTTTATGAGTAAACAATGTCAAATTGTAATTTATGATTTTTACATCTGCCTCTAGAGATAGCAAAATTTTATCATGGCATTATAGAATAGGCCGCCTTAAAGACGTGTACTTTCTATAATATTTTTTAATAAAACTTCATTTAATTTTCAATGTGAAAACTATGAACTTGCGAAACATCAGCGTACCTCTTTTTCGAATTCCATATACAAACCCTCTAAACCATTCACTATGATCCACAGTGGTTTATGAGGACCTTTTCGAATTCCTAATTGTACCCACACAAAATAGTTTATCCCATTTATAGACGATCATACTCTAATATGTCGGCTCTATCTACTAAAAAAAAAAAAAAAAAAAAAATCTAATGTTCACTCAGTATTTATTAGCTTTCACTAGATGATTCAAACTCAATTTTAGACACAAATTCAAACTATACATACTAATAATGGCACAGAATACTTTAACACATCTTTACGAGACTATCCATGAAAACATGGAATAGTCCACCAAACCTCAAGTGTCAACACTTCCCAAGCAAATGGGATTGCCGAGCGGAAAAAAACCTCCTTGAAGTTGTCTGTGTGTTAATGTTCACTACAAATATGCTAAAACTATTCTTGGGGGATATCATTCTAAAAATAACATATCTAATCAACAAAATGACTAGTCGTACTCTCTCCTTCAACTCATCTCTCCAAAAGTTCCAAAAACACTTCCTCGCCCCGTCTTAATTTCAACCTATCTCTAAAGTGTTTGGCTGTTTTTACTCATGTTCACTCTTGTTATTGAAACAAACTGAACCCTCTTACACTTTAGTGTGTGTTTATTGCATACTCAATCGGTTATAAATGCTATGATCCCTATTTGTTAGCCTAGATGTCACCTTCTTTATGAAATATGGGATGGCATGTTAGTTTATATTGTATATTAAGATATAAATCATATTCTATTGTATTCTCTACATGAGGGATACAGGACACTAATGCTCTAAAATTAAATAGATATACCAACAATAAAAAATAGTTACATTGAACAACTGTAATAGAGATAATATAATAAATTGGAATAGTTCGCAGCTTTGAAGAAAATGGATTTAAATTAAGAGTTCCCAAGACTTCCTAGCAAATGAATGCTTTCGTAGGCAATAGATAATCATGTAGCCCTGCAAAGACCAAATAATACAATGCAAGTATAGAGTTACCCTTTCATATTCATCAAGCCAGATTTCCTCTTCAGACGCATGTTTCCATTTCACGACCTTATCTAAAATATCCTTTCTGGTTTGAGCCTGTTCTATAGCGTTTGCAATCTGTTCCTCCATGCTTGATAAAAGATCAGGAAGATCCACACTACCTACAATCGCATTTGCAAGCAAAATTATTACAAGAAATAAAGAACAAAATTATTACAAGAAATAAAGAATAAAATCTTACCCTTCCTAGTAAATATGATTTCACTTTAATTAGAATTACCTTTCTATTGTTTATAAAGAATAATGTTATCTAACACCAATGGTATTAAAGCACCAGTCTAGGCGCCCACATTTCATTGGTTCAATTAAATTAATCATGTAACATTTTATTTAAGTGAATATATTATTTAATGTCATGCAGTTGCCACTTAGATCGGTGCTTAACATCAGTGATGCTAAATAGCATTACCCATTCATATATTATAAATGTGCATATGTTTATATACAAAGAGGAGAAAAAATCATCAGTTTTTCAATTGATTCTATATTCTTTTGAGTTTACACAAATACGAAGTTGGTGTATGTCAAAGGAAAGGAAATATAAACATATCCTCCAACTTTTAAAATGAGGGTAATCAATCATGTATGTTCAATTTCTCTTAAAATATATGAAGTCCTCGTTCATCATTGTATGGTATTGGAATGTGTATCTGGACACTCCAGCAATTCCATTGTTTTCAATAACGTGTTGGAGAACTTGTATTCATGCATATAATGATGTAGAAATCTGACTTATTCTCCATCTGTCAAAGCAGAAGGTCGTAAATGACACAAAAGAATAAAGGGGACATCTTACACAAGCTTATTAACTATAACTATTACATATGAAAGAAATCTAGTGAACAATCCAGATATTAGGAGGCACGTAGACAAGAAAAGAACAACAATTTAGCGAGAGAGAGAACAGGGGATTGACAATAACAGTTCGCATGGATTACCAAGTATCAAGTTCCCTGATCATGTTTACACGTAAGTAAGATAAAATTCAGTTGTTTGGCAGATAAATTTTGGAAATGCAATACCAATGATTTTGGAGCATAAGAATTTGAGATCATTTTCTTGAAAACGAGTAGAATCTCTTTAGAAAATTATTTCTTTGATATGCTTGGATGGAGAGGTTTAAGAACCCAACAAAATGAAATAAACAGAAACCTATATTTTTCATTTCTACCAGAACTCCTATGAGGAAAGCAGGAGAAGTCATGGAGTAAAGCTGTAAAACTGTGTTATTATTTATTATGCTATACTCATACCCTAAAAGGCCTACAAGTTCCGCTTTTCCTCATGGCTTAAAGATGATAACTCCCATATATCTACACACTTTCCCAAGCATGTCCTCATCCCTCTGAATCTGACCTACCCAAAACCAAAGGAATGCGATACAAAAATCAAGGGAGCGAAAGAGATATCCTCATTCCTCCGCTATACAGGTCTGGTTCTAAATTTGATGCACATTAAGGATGCAAAATAGCATTGAAAGAAAACAAATAAATATAAGAAAATCATTGAAAGTAAATCTTGGTAATTTTCCCTAAAATCAATGGGTAAACTTGGTAAGTCTTCAATTAGGTTTCCATCACAATCTCGAGCAATTAACTTGAACATGAAACTTTTTAAACCGTTCAACTGTATCAAATTCATGAGCAAAACAGAGGCAGAAGGCTAAAAAAAAAGCCTAATTGACTCCAGTATTTTGTAATTTGTTTCGAAGATTGTGTAGCTTGAAAATCAATACATTCTGGTCTAGCCTTGAAGTCCAAAGGTTGACTTTATTCCTTTTCTGAGCGCTTTCTCTTTAGTGCTCTCTTAGACCAAAGAAACATGAATTTAGTAAGCAAAACCGTAACTTGTTTTCAAGTCCATATATTTATGGTCAATTAGCTTCTTTTACTTCTGAAAGCAAAATAAAAACCAACATATATGTCTAGAGAAAGATACAGGAAGAATTCTGTAAGCGGCAGCAAACATAGTATAATAATCACCATGCATATTCAATCTCTAAAGTAACCTAGTAAATGTACCCCTCTGTAGATTTCTTCAAGTTCATTTTGTCTCTTAAATATTAGCTCCTTCATCTTGCTGGCTTTCAAAATACTCAAGCGAGCAACTTCAGCTTCAGCCTAACGATATGGAAAAATAGTAAAAGTAAGAATCTAAAAGACTGGTACCATGTATAAAAGTATTGTAGATAAGTAATTCCAAGGAAACGAATAAAAAGTTAACTAATGAAAAAGAATAACCTGCTCAATCACTTTAACAGAAAGGCATTCTTGCCTCACAACATCATCAACAGTGGAAGTGATTAAGTGAGTGACATGATCAAATCTTTTTTGCTCCTCAATTGGGGTATCCATGAGGTTCCAGAGCTCAATGAGAGCTCTCCCTAGGTCTTGCACCTGGTACGGTAATAACAAATTAAGTAGAGCAAGCATAATGATTCGGAAACCAGATTTGTTGATCTTCAATTATCCAAAGGTTAAATATGCGTTCAACCACCCTCTAATGGCTAACATATAGGAGTCAATGCGCAAATCCAATTATATGAAGAAGAATTACGCCATCAATACAGAAGCACATATTTATCATGAACCAGTTCAAAATCCAAACATAAAATGAGCTCTCTCTCTTTTAATCTTTCTCTTTTCCTGGATCCTGACAAACACCAAATACTAAAACAATTTGCAACCATAATTTCAAACAGTGATCTGAATTGAGAATTAGATTCTTGCTTCCCTAATTCACAAGTAATTGCATCTGAGATGCAAGATTTGGTAAAAGTACCAGAAAAAAAATATTGATATCAAATGAATTAATACACTTCCTCTATACAGGATCATATGTCCTTATTTCCTTCTCAAAATGACCTCAGATAAAGTTCCTTTAGCTAACTCAAATAGTCATTTATTTTCCAGAATACACTTACGTGAAGTACTTATTGTGAATAACTAACAAAATCGTTGACCATTAGGTTTGCATGTAAAAATTGAAAAGTTACATTACGCAATTATATTTAACTATTGCCTAACGCATTAGCCAATACCGATGGGAGGATTCTATTGTAGCTGCACAAGACTACATATGGAGAGGTTCATGCCACCAACACCAGAAAATGGAGGATGCCTCACCTAACAAGATACATAAATTTGGTACCAGCCAATATCTAAACCAACAAAATTCTCTTAATCGGGTGTGTTGTTGGTAAAGAAGGAATATATACAAAACCTTGAATTCATGACAGAGTATATTTGCTATCATGATATTAACGTCAGAAATGACTCTTCAGAAACAATATTGATTCATCCTCACAAATGAAACTAGGTAGCATACATCAAGGTTGAAAACAGAGAAATTGAAAACACCTTCAATTAACATTAACAAGAATTAAAAGCATTTATTTGGAGATTGTTCTGGTAAGATATGTATAGACTATAAAGCATAGGAATTAGGTATTTAAATCACCAAACTTACAACAGATCATCAATATTAATTTCATTAACAGTTTTCTATGAGATTATAACATATCTTGTACAGAACAAGATCAAACACAAGACTCATATGTCAGTCTAGTAGAGTAGGAAAACACAAAGATTAGCAGCCAAAAAGTGAAGATTCAAAACAAAAGGCGAAGTTACAGATTCATAAGATGCGTGACAGCATAAAAAACATGAGGGGATGAGTGATAATTGAATCAATTGATTCAAAATATCATCTTTAGATGCTTTTCTGATAAATCTTTTGCTTGCTATATGTTAATTAAACACATTCAGGTCTTTGACATGAGAGAGAGAGAGAGAGGGTATAACTCAGTATGCAAATTTAAGAGATACTGATTAGTATGCAATAGTTTTAGGTGCATGCGAGAGAGAGAGAGAGAGAGAGAAGAAAAAGGTTATTAGAAGGTTACTATTTCCAGGCGCCCTTGTTTCTTTTGGATCAATGAATTGACTTCACTGGCTAATCTAGCCAGTATCTCATTGCTAATGCACTTTGTCTGACCAGTAGGAGAATCAGTCAAGCTTGGATGAATTTCGGCCATTATTCTTTTAAAATCAAGTGACATGACAACTGAGAGCTTGTGGATTGCAGTGATGTGACTATTAACCTTTTGCAAACGAAAATTCTGCAGATAGAAATATTTATCCAAGTTATCACATAAAAGAAGCTCGTAGTCTTAAATTATGATTGCAAAACATATTTCTAGGCAAACCTTCTCAGACTGAAGCTCCAGAAGCTGGGAGTTCAGCTCTCCTAACTTCTTAGTTGTCAGGACTAGTTCATCTACTTGAATATCATCAGGATTCAAAGCCTGATCATTGCCTGCTATTTCTGCAAAGATCTGAGCAATCTGCAATTGTAGTTTGGAAAGCTCCCTGACCCTTCCATGTTTCAGCATCCTCAAATTCTCCAATGTAGGGTTTATAACAGATATTTGATCCTTAAGATTGCCCTCCATCTTCTCATACTAAAACAGAAACAAAATAATTCAATATATAGCACCAAGTATATAAACAATTATTCTAATTCTCAGTATGTCCAAACTAAACTAAACCTTTTCAACATATCACGCTTATTTTCAAAGCAATAGCCAACAGTGATGTATTCAATTAGGAATAAAAGCCTACGGAGTTTAATAAAGTACACCGAAAATAAACTGAAGGGCATTGAGAGTATAGCCACAGTTGAATAGACCTGTGGCAAGGAAATTCTTTCTCCAAGAGAAGAAGCAAGTTCAGCAATCTCAGCTTTAGCCTCAGCCAATGAAAGCTGCAAATCTGCCTTGCATCGTTTACTTGTTTCTACCTTTCTACGATAAATGTCAAGACATTCGTGCTCCAGATGAAGAAGCATCTCGTCCCTTTCCTTATCGCTCTCCCCAATTTCATCCCATATTTCCTATTTCAAAAAATAATAATAATAGAATAATATAATCCACGATGTGGATGCACATAAATGCTTGAACAAAAAAATAAAAATAAAAATAAAAAAATGAAAAAACACAAGTTGCTTGATATGGAGGGTCAAACATAAAGTAGGAAAGTATGAACCTTCATGACAAAACATCCGAAGTGTAAAGTACAACTCTAACTCCCAACATGCAATGTTCTGGAAATTTTACCACTCTAAACTTGAAAGCATTTCTACCCAAATCTCCAATGAAATAATAATAATAATAATAATAATAATAATAATAATAATAATAATAATAATAATTAAACCAACAACAACAATAACAACATCAACAAAGAACGAAACACAACTCCTGAACCGAAAAATGGTCGCTGAGGCCCAAATTATTTCAACAAATGTTCAATTTGAAAACAACCGATTAATTAACTAATAAGTAACAAAATGCAAAATGGGGACTTAAATTTACCTGCAATTCATGAAGGAGCGAGGAGCAAGTGGTGATGCCGGATTTAGAAAACGAAAGCGGTGAAGAAGCAAAATTCGCTGTACCAGTACAAGTAGACATGACGAATGGGCCGATAAACGAGAGAGAAGAAAATGAAACCCTAGAAATCAATGCGATTAGAGGAACCTATTTTGTTCTTCATTGATTTTCCAATAATGAGCAATTATTGCTGTTCATTCAACGGAAATTTTAGGTGCGTTTGGCGGGAAAGCATAGTTTTGATTTTATTTTTTTTATAATTTTTTTTTTCTTTCTTCCATTATTTGATCATTAATCTTTGACAAAGTACATCCGGAAGAGCTTGTTTGGTTTTGATTAAAATATATTGCTTGTCTGGGTGTGTTAAAAAGGAATTTTCCTATCGTTGAAAACGGGTCCCACGCATGCGAAAAATGATGGAAACTCAAAAAATTAAGGCTAATTGGACATTTTTGTCCCCAACGCATGTGTTCTTACTATTGAATACTATTACACATTTGACCGATTTCAAACATATTGCAGTCATTTTTCCTAGAAATCGGGCCGATACAATGCCAAAAAGTGTATTGTTGTCTACAGATTTCTATTAGAAATTCATTACACTGGAGAAATAAAATTTGCCATTCATGTCAACATACAATAGTCATAACGAAAATATGGCACACCCATACATGAACTTATTACACAAAAATCCAACAATTTAACGATAAGAGAAAGTGTTACACGCGTCCACCGCTCACTGACTTTCTGCCAACCAATCACAAAAATGATCTCACTCGTAACATTGCACTTCTAGTGCGTTCATTTTAGCAACAACTTGGTCGTGTTCGTCCGACAATGCTATCTCGCCGCATCAGGGTCCGTCTCTGCTCTTGTGCCTCATCGACGACCCCTGCCCGTCGGAGGAAGCTGTGGATGCCTATAGTTGCTACTATGACTACAATCTGTACTTTAAAATTGTAGCGCGGCATACAATCCAGTATTTTTCACCTACTTTTCCAGATACCAAATGTCAGTTCGATTACGTTTCTACACGACGAGTGCTTGAAGTTGAATTTCTCACGCGCATTCCAAAACTTCTCCTTCGACTCGTCCAAACATCGTAGAACTGCTGGAAATGGTACAGTGGACCCCTTATACGAAGCCATATACACAGGTCTATGGGAAAATCCCAAGTCCACAAGATAGTATTTTTCGGGAGCAGGCATCAGGAAATCAATTTCGGGACTGTATATAGCACATGTTGTATAATGCCAAAATGCATGAATCATGCGTCGTCCTCGTAAAGCCCGTGAGCACAAATGTAAAATATAGGTTGAAATCACATGCTACAAGAACATTTTGTGTCGGGATTCCTTTACGTCCAATAAAATCCATACGTTTGTCCCTGAGGCAACACAGCTCTAACGTGCATCTCATCAATCGCGCCAATGTAGTCTCTAAATAACGAATGCTTATTCGGATCCGATACATGCTGCTCGGTACCCTAACTATAGTTCAGATCTGATCTTATGAGACGAGCACTGAATTCAAGAGTTGCTTGCAGCACAATCTTGAAGTAGTGGCCAATCGTTTCCAAAGAATGGTTGAATAGCGTCTGAACCTGTCGATACCCTTTTCTATGCGCTAATATGCAAAGAAACATTCCAACTTGTTCATACATGTTTACTTGCTGGCAGCTGCACAGTCTATATTCACCCGGAGTATATGTGTAAATCTTCGAACTATGGTTGGGTACATCCTAAATTCTGCGTAGCATTGTTGAGGACTACATTTCATCGCATCGATCATGAACATATACCCGTTTCTCGCGAACACAAATCGAGTAATCCGAGGTCTCTGTTGACTGCAGTAGTTTGCCACATCAATTTCTGACATCCAACAGTAACGAAACTACTCAAAATGTCATCTTCTTGCAGTTGCATGAATTCTACTTCTCCAATCTCATCTTCATTATCAGAAGACGGCATAAGCACACAATTGAAATCAAACTGCGCCATTGTCTACTTCTCTCACTTTGTTGGGAATTTCCCTACCTAATTTGAGACAAAGAAGAGATTAAACAAGCACACACTAACTCAAATGAGCAGAGTCATTTTGTTTTTGCAATGGACTGCAATGTGTTCCCATTTTATAGAATTACTTAACATTGCAATCATACCACTGCAGAAAATATTTTTCAGAAATGAGAAAAATGAGAAGTGATTCCCCAGCTAATGATAGCAATTCTATGATGGGGCTGTCAGAGATTGACAATTACTCATGACAAATGTTGAATAAGTCCAACAAAAAAGGGGTTGGGGAGCCTTGGAAAAGTACAAACTTTTCTGATGTAGATATGAAATTATTGTAGTTGGTAGTGCATATATGGATACATAATTCTTAAAAAATACACACTTCCAAATTGTAAAGTTCACAAACCACATCCGAGGAAACGGAAAAAGAAAAAAACCTTCGATAATTTTCATGGAGATTCTCCGTTGTGGGGAAAATTTATTCTATCGCACACTCAGTTCTCACTACGATCGCGCTTTGCATACTCCTATCAGTTCAACTCCAACCAATCTATCTTCTCATTTGCATCATCTTACATCTCCAAAACCTCTCTATTCCATTTTAAAGACATAAAATTACATGTCCAAAAGTAGATGTTAGTTTTTTATGTAGTCTGCCGTCACGAACAACTCCTTGATACATGTCTTCGCATCCGGCACATTAGTTCTGTCTAAGTTGTCAAGTTTTGCCACTACTTTCTCACTTATAGTCGTGGCTCTGTCAACTGAGTTCGACAAATCTCTTGCTGGTATTTTAGTTTTCTTCTCCTTATTTTTACTGTCACTGAATCTACGTTTCTCTCCACTCCTATGGCCGGAGACGTCCATGCTTGAAGCGGGCTTGTCTAATTTGTCTCCCTTATCACTAAAGCCGCTGCTCTTCTTGCATATCGACATTGCGTCTCGCAAGTCGCACTACAAGAATTTTATGTTTTCCCTCCAAATTTTATTTTTAGGAGAAAGGTTATTATTTGTAGGGAAAAACCTTTGCAGACAAAACAATTCTGTAGGGACGTTTGTGGGGCTAACATCGAGGGGATAGGTATAAGACGGCAAATTCTTGAGATTTGTGGGCTAAAGTGTTTCCCAACGAAACTTTTGGAGACGGATATAATTCGTCGCGTAAGTTTTCCTCCAACAAAGTAATTCATTTGCTAAAGTTAATTCTGCCCTTGAAATGATTTCGCTTTGGCCTACAAATTATTTTATGGGCTAAATCGTGTTTGTCCCCACAAATAATAGTTTGTGCGGAAAAATTATTTGTAGGCCAAGATATAGACCTTTTTTACTACAATTAAAGTTTGTGACAACATGGAACAAATTATTTTGTGGGCTAAACCATGTTTTTCTGCAAATAATATTTAGTTGGGAAAGCATATTTGCATTTGTATGGAGAAATTAAACTATTTGTAGATTTTTTATTTTTTATTTATATTATAATAATTTTTTAAACCTCATTCAAAATAATATAAAGATACAAAAATCATAATAAATCAATTAAAATGTAATGTCAATCAACATTGAATCTAGAATATTTCATCAACACACGAATAAATGACATTCACCAAGTATGATTACAACCAAAGTTAAAATGAGTATGGCAAACATGTTGCACATAAAAACATGACTCTTTATTCCCCTGAATGAGATATGTGCTGATTCTCACCAAAGCTATTCTCTTCATCCATAATAGCATCATCTTTTCCATTACCATTATTCTCTATTGACAATGGTATAAATGGTGGTACAATGAACCCAGGAACATTATCACATAATCATTGTATAGAATGATGTCAAGATTGTAATGTAGAATTGAATATTTGCTCAACAACCTTTAGCTTGTTTTGCATATTTTGCTCCATGTTTACTCAAGTTGCATCGCCTACCTTATGAGAAGCACGTTCTGCTTCCAATTCTTTCTCTAAATTGTTTACTCATCTACTTACTGAGTTGTATAAAACTCGAATTTTCTCTCGAGTTGTACGAACGATACGAGATGTCTTAATTTGTTTACATGCTCCTCAAGTAGGATGATCATCGAGAGTCCTTGACCAATGTCCTACGCCTATACCTGCAAACTCAATAATAAAAGCCGAATATGTAAATGAACTTCATAAAGTAAGAAAATTAACTATTAATAAAATAATCACCCTCCCTTCAGAATCGTCTATTTCATCATCCAATGCCACATTATTTTCTTCAATTCTATGAAAATGTTCACTTTCTACTGTGCCTATACATAACTTTTCCAAACTGGCATCACAAGTAAAAAAAATCCTGATTTAGAGATGAATTGATTGTCAGGACAAGAGTGAATCAGCTTCTTATGATACATTTGAAAGTGCATTTGGTTGTTTTATTGGTATGTCTTTCCTAGTACAAGTAAAAACCAAAAAAAATCCTGATTTAGCAATGTTGGTTGCATTTTACACCTAAAAAGACATTCCAGATCAACCCATTTTTAATGTGTGCAACAAATGATTGATTCCCGAACCACAAATGGCAATTTAAAAAGAAAAGCAAAACAATGAATCTGAAAACTTTCAACAACCATGAGGCTAACACCCAAATAAAACAGCCTTATCATTTTTAGCAACCCCCGTTAAAAATATCCCAAAAAAAGAGACTGAATCCCAATAAAAAGCTATTAAATTTCACCCGAACCCATCAAAAATTAAAACAATCTCGCATTGCCACACAAAAAGGCATTCAAGAGCTAACCCATTTTCAAATGTCACATATGAATTCAGAAATGCAAATAGATAAGATAATAAGATGTAAAGAAACATGCCTGTAAGTGCTTAATCGAACTACAAAAACATTCACTCAAAATCTTTTTTAGTAAATTCTGTACAGTTAATCATTCTAAACATGTACTATACTTCTCTTAGTGTTTCCATCTACCTTAGGCCATAGCTACATAGTTGTCATTGCCTTTGCAGGTGATGGTGGCATTGCCATGTGAATTGACTATGGTCAGCCATGAGGAAGTGAAAGTATGTGCTCAAGTTTCCTTTTGAATGGAATCCTTTACAACTTCATGGTCAAGATATGAAAGCCTTTGAAAAGTGACATGATTAAATATGGTGGACAGATCAAATTTAGGTAAAGGTGAAAGAATTATTCGTCACATTTTTATGGCGGTTTTCAGGGGCGAATCCAGGTTGTTGAGTCAGCACGAGCGGCCATAATA